AGTTTTTCAGACTGAGCTTTCAGAGCGTTCACGATCTTTGGGTGACAGTGGCCTTGATTGACAGCACTGTAAGCACTCAGAAAGTCAAAATACTTTCTACCTTCAACATCCCACACATAAACACCTAGGAAAACAAAGGTATGGTCAGTGCGCAACATAAAAGAAGACATGAGATAATACTAAATGATATAAGCTAAGACAACCTGGTCAAATATACACAGTATTCTCGCTGTTCCTTAGAGCATACGTGAAAGACCTCTAACCAGAAAATAATCAGTTGACAAGGAGAGCATAAGCAACAAAGCAGTACAATACAAATAAATGCCCAATGAGGAACCAAGAAAATAAGCATTTCCCATATAAAGCTGTTATTCCACTAAGTTAGTAAGGAATATGAGAATATTATTTCCCCTCCAAGTCCCTGTTTTGGGTCCTAAAAAGTAGATAGAGAAGAATACTTTTGTAAGAGAATAAGTAAGAATTAGAGGCCATAAAAGAAAGAACAAAACCCAAATAGTGTCAACACTTAAAAGCCTGACAGCTCTGAGCTGTCAAAACATGTACTGATAAATAAAAGCTATTGGATCACTACACTGATAACATTTCAGTAGAAACTCATAGCATTTAACCTGCAGAGCACAAAAGCCCCTTGAACATAATTAAAGACCAGAGTAAATTTAAATTAAGCAGAAATACAGGAACAGCACACAAGGAATTAAACAGGGTTCCAATGCACCTTTTCATGTTCACATTAACATTAAACCTCTCCACACAAGGTAACATAAGAAATTTTCTTACTGAGTTATTCTGAATTATGAAGATTATCAGAATTTAGATCTCTATTTAGATGAATCATTTTAAAGAGTTTTATCCGGCAGCCTTATGCTCCAATTCTCTAACCAGCAATCAGCTGTCTTTATTTCATCTATTATCTCAGTCCCACCCATCCCACCCCCCAAAAAAATCCCAAAGGTTCAGAAATCGATTAGATCAAAATCATTAAGCCATGATCCCATCCCATCTAGACACACACATCCCATCTAGACTACCCAGGCAAACCTAAATAAAATACCTTTTCCTTTTTCCAGAGCAACAGGTAATGGGTGATAATTGTGGGCACCATATTTAGCCTCACGTTCAAATATTAAATCAGAGGATGGAGGCCCTTGAATGGTTTTTTTGGTAGCAACTGAGGTTGCAGAATTCAGTGAAGCGTGAACACCTCGACAGAGAACTGCAATGTTCTGAGAGCGGGTTAACTTGGAAAACATTATTGACTTCAAGTAGGCTGTTATAGATCTGGAGGGGAAAAAAAAAAAAAAAACGAGTTAATAATTAGCACTAAGAATACTTCAGAAGAAACATGATGTGATTGAGGTGTTTTTACTGCCAGGATTACAGGTTTTTCAACTCTTCTGCAATTCAATCAAGAAAGATTATGTGAAGTATAAATGAATGTGGTACTAACTTCAAGTATTTTTTAATGTATATTCGCAGTAACAGAAAGAAAACTAAAACATGTGACTCACCCACTCTAAGAACTAGTGATGTCATTTTCCCTAGAAGTGTTCCTTTTTCATTGTGCCTTAAATTTGAACTAAATTTATTAATATAAACTACATTAAGAAATGTTTCTCAAACTTTTCATGCTATTGAAAAGGCCTTTCATCTAACAAAGATTTCCGTAAGGCAAATCTCATTACAAAATCGGAAAGTAAATAATATAATATTGGAAAGCAGGCCCTGACCCAACTAATGTTTAGCTGATCAAGGATCAATTATTTTTAGCTGCGGTCAGCTTTAAGAAGCAGTATTTGTGACTTTTTATCTAAATTGTGTTCTTGATTTTAAAATGTTGCCATCTACACATAAAGCACTCGCTGTTAGCAGCATTTTAAGACCATCAAAAAATAGATGGGACATAACAATATGTTAGATGCTAATGATAATTAATACCCTGTATTTTCTTAGTAAAGCTCAGCGATTTCCCCTGAATGCATAACCTTGTACTGTTAACATCTAAAGATAATCTGAGGGTAGAATTTCATGAGACAAACACACTTGCATTTCCTCCCTGTGCCTTTACCTCACTCAACATAAAGATATGTCCCAGAGAAGGGGCATTTTAGAAGCTGTTGAAGCAAGCTCTCCTCACAGCACCAAGTATTGGGATCAGCAGACAGCCACCAAGGAAACAGTGATCACTTTAGCAAGACCAAGAATTCTTGAAGCTCATGTTTCTAGGCATGCAGAACAACATACTTACAAACTGGCAAAAGGTATTAGCCCAAAAGGAAGATCCCGGATTACAGTGACAAATGCTCAAGATTATTAAATGCAGCCTCTTTTGTAACACACTCTATATCAAACTGAAGAGCTAAGTAGACTTGACACTGCTGCACTACCTAACAAATAAAGCGTACTGCAAAACTTAACCAAAATATACTTCCAGGAGAATGCAGGCGTGGTTTACACAAAGGTGTTGTTATTTCAGGCTGCTTGCAGAGACAGAAAAATTAAGTCACAGATTTATTCTAAATTTATTTTGGAAAAAGCTCTGCACACTGGATGTGGCACCTTAAACAGAGAGGCATTTCTTTCAGCAGCCTCCTCAGATATTACGATGCTGCTCCTCACTTCTAAGCAAGGCCAGAAGACTATTTTCTACAGCTACCAAAATCAGCTACCAAAATCCAAGTCTTCAGGAAGAGTCAACAGTCCATTCCAGCAAGAGATGGACGGCAGTTTCACAGCTCTGGGCATTTTACCAGCTGTCATCAATGCCATTAAACATTAGCCATTTCTTTTAATACTTTTCAAGACCATTATTCAAAGATTTTGCAAATAAAAAAGACAAATACTTCTCTGTGCAAGAAAAAAATTTTGACAGAAACTCAGCTCAGCTGTGCAACTCCTAAAACTTAATTGGTCTGTGACATCCTGGCCCCTGGCACACCTCCGTGGCAGAGCAGCTAATTCTATCACAAGCTTCTATATTTTTGGAGATTTTCCAGACATTCCTGAAATTAAAACTGTAAAGAAAGGAAACTCTCATCTACCCTGTTTCAGAGAGCTACCTTTCCGCGTGAAGAGTTACAGACCACCAGTTTGAGGTGCTTCTTTTACTTCCTAAATGTTAGGAAATATCAATCAGAAATTTTTAAAAGGACTTTCCCTGTCTCCCCTGTAAACTATGCGAGTGAGGCCACATCAATGATTTTAGCCGAGGTGCAGGAGATTACATGGAATAGGGCTGAGCAAAGCTGAGCATTATGGATGCATCTGGAGTTAAAAGGTGAAGAAAAATTTGGCTTGGATGCGCAGCAGGACAAAACGAACGGAAATTTCAGGAAAGAGAAAGGATGCAATAGGGGGGGGGGGAAGAAAGAAAAAACCCAACTTGTTACCAACTATGAGGAAGTGAGAAATATGATCACGCCCTGCAGCATGCAGTACTGGAATCAGAAGCCAGGGCATTTTACCAAGTAGAAAAGGTCTTGCATCAGAATAGAAAAGCTCCTCAAAGCACAGCTGTAAAACATACTTGAACAACTTTGCTCAGCTGTTGAGCAAGAATATCCAAACAAGAGCACTGTGCCTGCAGACCTCACAGGTCAGCTATGTACCCAAGCCCTGAAATACACCCCAAAGTACACGGCATGTATTATCAAATACGTGTAAAAGACTTTAAGATTCATGGTGATACAGCACAGAAGCTGAATTCAAAGGGGGTGAATGTTCAAGAGGCCTATAGCCGGAGGCATACCGGTCTGAACAGGGTAAGCCTTTCCAGACTAGCACCCCATCAGGAACAGCTCAGGACCTCGACTAGCAGGCAAGAAACCCGGCGGTGAGACACCAGAACCCTCTGGCCATCCTCCGGCGAAGGCCAAGGCCACGGCAAAGGCCCAGATGGTCATCGCGAACGGGAGCGGGGCTGGCAAGGGGCGCGGAGGAGAAAGGCGGCTCTCTGCCGGCTTGGCTGCCCGCCCCTCGGGGACAGGCTGTCACATCCCAGCTCCGGGGGACAGGGGAGGGGGCTGGCATCCCGTCCCCGCCGCAGCGCCCTGCCCCGGGAGGCAGCCGCTGTAGGGCTGCCCGAACCCTCCCGTTGCCTTAGCGACAGGGCCTGCTGCGGCCTATGCCCGCACCGCCGCTGTCCCCGGCACCCGCGGCAAGGC